CTCCCTCCCCCTCCCTTCCTTCCCTCCCTCTCCCTCTCCACCCTCCTACTCTCTCTTTTTTCTCAACCATAATGTTTTGTGTTGTCTTATTTGTCCCCCTAGTAAATCCCCCCCTCTCAAGGGGTGATACAGACCCCCTCTCACCTTCCCCTAGTAAATCCCCCCCTCTCAAGGGGTGATACAGACCCCCCTCACCTTCCCCTAGTAAATCCCCCTCTCTCAAGGGGTGATACAGACCCCCTCTCACCTTCCCCTAGTAAATCCGCCCCTCTCAAGGGGTGATACAGACCCCCCTCACCTTCCCCTAGTAAATCCCCCTCTCTCAAGGGGTGATACAGACCCCCTCTCACCTTCCCCTAGTAAATCCCCCCCTCTCAAGGGGTGATACAGACCCCCCTCACCTTCCCCTAGTAAATCCCCCCCTCTCAAGGGGTGATACAGACCCCCCTCACCTTCCCCTAGTAAATCCCCCCTCTCTCAAGGGGTGATACAGACCCCCCTCACCTTCCCCTAGTAAATCCCCCCCCTCTCTCAAGGGGTGATACAGACCCCCTCTCACCTTCCCCTAGTAAATCCCCCCTCTCTCAAGGGGTGATACAGACCCCCCTCATTTGCCCCCGTAACCCCCTCCCTTCCAGAGGGGACGCAGACCCCCCCTCCCCTCCCCTCCCCTCCTGTACCCCCCCCCCCCCTAGGAGTGATATATGTCGATCTCCTCACTCCACCACCAGTAATCCTCCCCCTCCCCCATGAGTGATACAGACCCCCCCCCCTCCTCACCCTAAAAACCTTGCCCCTCCCCCGGGGTGAGGCACCCCCCTTCGCCCCTCCCCAGCAGCGATGTAAGCCTGGGGGGGGGGGAAGGGAGGCGGGGGGCGGGCTGCGGCTTTGTGAGCAGTGAGATTGATTACTGGTGTATTGTGTTAATTACTCGCTGATAGTGACGGTGATGATTGTGACGATAGCAGTGATGGTGAGGGTGATGATGGTGATGACGAGACAGCCAGCATTAGCCATGATAAGGATACGAACCTGCACACACTGGGCACTCCCAGGCACACGCCCCAGGCCACTGGGCCATGATATGCTACAAAAGTAATATATGTAACCTGGGATCCCACTGAATCCTCTAGGGTTCCTGAAGCCCTCTTGTCACCCCCCCCCCACACACACACACACACACACGTGTCCCACTCCAACGTTCGTGTGATTGCTTTGGTTGCATTTGAAGAGAGGCGTTTGGGCCAGAGTTCCTTTACCGGTCAACTTACCAAGCAGATCTCGGTAACATTAATTGTGAATGAAGGAAATGTTCAAGATGACTCTTGGATAGAATAAAAGCCACTTGTCAGGCAGAGAAAGCAGGGAAAATGCAGAGAAAAACAGAGAAAGCAAGGAGAAAGCAGAGAGAAAGCAGGAAGAAAGCAGGGAGAAAGCAGGGAGAAAGCAAGGAGAAAGCAAGGAGAAAGCAGGGAGAAAGCAGGGAGAGAGCAGGGAGAAAGCAAGGAGAAAGCAAGGAGAAAGCAGAGAGAAAGCAAGGAGAAAGCAAGAAGAAAGCAGGGAGAAAGCAAGGAGAAAGCAGGGAGAAAACAGGGAGAGAGCAAGGAGAAAGCAGAGAGAAAGCAGAGAGAAAGCAAGGAGAAAGCAAGAAGAAAGCAGGGAAAAACAAGGAGAAAGCAGAGAAAAAGCAGGGAGAAACAAGAGAAAAAGCAGAGAGAAAGCAGAGAGAAAGCAGTGAGAAAGCAAGGAGAAAGCAGTGAGAAGCAAGGAGAAAGCAAAGCGAAAGCAAGAACAAAGCAAAGAAAGCAAGAAGAAAGCAGGGAGAAAGCAAAGAGAAAGCATTGAGAAAGCAGAGAGAAAGCAAAGAGAAAGCAAAGAGAAAGCAAAGAGAAAGCAAGAAAGCAGAGAGAAAGCATATACATCAAGGAAAAAACAGGGAGAAAGGAGAGAGAAAGCAGGGAGAAAGAAGAGAAAACATGGAGAAAGCCGAGAGAAAGCAGGGAGAAAGCAAGGAGAAAGCAGGGAGAAAGCAGAGGAAGCAGGGAGAAAGGAGAGAAAAAGCAAAGGAGAAAGCAGGGAGAAATAGAGAAAGCAGGGAGAAATAGAGAAAGCAGAGAGAAAACAGGAAACAGGAAGAAAGCAGAGAGAAAGCAGAGAGAAAGCAAGGAGAAAGCAGAGAGAAAGCAAGGAGAAAGCAGAGAGAAAGCAGGGAGTGGTTGGTGAGAGTGGGAGTGGAAGCTGTCACTGTGTCTACGGTAAACACCTGACACTGTCTACGGTAAACACCTGACACTGTCTACGGTAAACACCTGACACTGTCTACGGTAAACACCTGACACTGTCAACGGTACACACCTGACACTGTCAACGGTACACACCTGACACTGTCAACGGTACACACCTGACACTGTCAACGGTACACACCTGACACTGTCTATGGTACACACCTGACACTGTCTACGGTACAAACCTGAGTGTCCACACCTGACAACCCGTAGAGTGGACCAACAGTTGAGACTGTGTGGAGAAGATGGCGCCAGGTTGTACCTGTGCCAGTTCTGTGGGTCATCATTTGTGTGGCCCCGGGCGGGGCTCGGGTCGTAGAACAACCCTCGCAACCCCACCCAGGTACAACCCAGGTACAAGCAAGACGCCGCACCAGAAAGGTGGAGGTTTAATAACAGGATAAATCACAAAACATTACATTTAAACCAGAAACATTTGCCTCAAGCTTTCAAAGGTACTTTCGGGATCTATTTACCTGTAAGCTTAGTCGTCTAAAGTTGTCCTAGGTAAGAACTGGTAGGTAAACACCCCCTTCCCTCACCCCCTTCCCTCACCCCCTTCCCTCACCCCCTTCCCTCACCCCCTACCAGGTGCGCCCCCCTACCACCGTCACTGTTAATGACCAATACGCATTAACCAGTACGCCAACAGGTCTGGCGCTACCCCCCCCCCCTACCTCTCAGGGGGGAGTAATCCCAGGGGGTTAATCCGGTACTTATGACCCGTAAAATCCAGGGATTACGTCACACGTGCGCACTGTCTGAGGATTTATAGAGCGGGGTCCAGGAATTGTTGGGACCTCGATATTATTTGTTGAGGTGATACCGTATTGCTGGGTGGTTAGTGGGGTGGGGGGTGGGGGGTGGGGGAGGTGGTCGTGGTGATGGTGGTGGTGGTGATGATGGTGGTCGTCGTGATGGTTGTGGTGGTGGTGGTGGTCGTGATGGTGGTGGTCGTGATGGTGGTGGTCGTGATGGTGGTGGTCGTGATGGTGGTGGTCGTCGTGATGGTGGTGGTCGTCATCGTGATAGTGGTAGTGGTCGTCGTGATGATGGTGGTGGTGGTCGTCGTAATGGTGGTGGTGGTCGTCGTGATGGTGGTGGTCGTCGTGATGGTGGTGGTCGTCGTGATGGTGGTGGTCGTCGTAATGGTGGTGGTCGTCGTGATGTGGTGGTGGTAGTCGTGATGGTGGTGGTCGTCGTCGTGATGGTGGTGGTGGTCGTCGTGATGGTGGTGGTCGTTGTGATGTGGTGGTGGTAGTCGTGATGGTGTTGGTCGTCGTCGTGATGGTGGTGGTGGTCGTCGTGGTGGTGGTGTTTGTCGTGATGGTGGTGGTCGTCGTGATGGTGGTGGTCGTCGTGATGGTGGTGGTCGTCGTGGTGGTGGTGGTCGTCGTGTTGGTGGTGGTCGTCGTGTTGGTGGTGGTCGTCGTGATGGTGGTGGTCGTCGTGATGGTGGTGGTCGTCGTGATGGTGGTGGTCGTCGTGATGGTGGTGGTCGTCGTGATGGTGGTGGTCGTCGTGATGGTGGCGGTCGTCGTGATGGTGGTGGTCGTCGTGATGGTGGTGGTCGTCGTGATGGTGGTGGTCGTCGTGATGGTGGTGGTGGTCGTCGTGATGGTGGTGGTAGTCGTGATGGTGGTGGTGGTCGTCGTGATGGTGGTCGTGATGGTGGTGGTCGTCGTGATGGTGGTGGTCGTGATAGTGGTAGTGGTCGTCGTGATGGTGGTGGTCGTCGTGATGGTGGTAGTAGTCGTGATGGTGGTGGTCGTCGTGATGGTGGTGGTGGTCGTGATGGTGGTGGTAGTCGTGATGGTGGTGGTGGTAGTCGTGATGGTGGTGGTGGTCCTCGTGATGGTGGTGGTAGTCGTGATGGTGGTGGTGGTGGTCATGATGGTGGCGGTCGTCGTGATGGTGGTGGTGGTCGTGATGGTGGTGGTCGTCGTGATGGTGGTGGTGGTCGTGATGGTGGTGGTCGTCGTGATGGTGGTGGTGGTCGTGATGGTGGTGGTAGTCGTGATGGTGGTGGTGGTCCTCGTGATGGTGGTGGTAGTCGTGATGGTGGTGGTGCTAGTCGTGATGGTGGTGGTGGTCCTCGTGATGGTGGTGGTGGTAGTCGTGATGGTGGCGGTCGTCGTGATGGTGGTGGTGGTCGTGATGGTGGTGGTCGTCGTGATGGTGGTGGTGGTCGTCGTGATGGTGGTGGTGGTAGTCGTGATGGTGGTGGTCGTCGTGATGGTGGTGGTCGTCGTGATGGTGGTGGTCGTCGTGATGGTGGTGGTAGTCGTGATGGTGGTGGTGGTCGTGATGGTGGTGGTAGTCGTGATGGTGGTGGTGGTCGTGATGGTGGTGGTAGTCGTGATGGTGGTGGTAGTCGTGATGGTGGTGGTGGTCGTGATGGTGGTGGTGGTCGTCGTGATGGTGGTGGTCGTCGTGATGGTGGTGGTCGTCGTGATGGCTGTGGTAGTCGTGATGGTGGTGGTCGTCGTGATGGTGGTGGTGGTAGTCGTGATGGTGGTGGTAGTCGTCGTGATGGTGGTGGTCGTCGTGATGGTGGTGGTCGTCGTGATGGCTGTGGTAGTCGTGATGGTGGTGGTGGTCGTCGTGATGGTGGTGGTCGTCGTGATGGTGGTGGTCGTCGTGATGGCTGTGGTAGTCGTGATGGTGGTGGTGGTCGTCGTGATGGTGGTGGTCGTCGTGATGGTGGTCGTCGTGATGGTGGTGGTGGTCACAGGCAGCCTGGCCCCGGGTGAAGGCAGCCTGGCCCCGGGTGAAGGCAGCCTGGCCCCAGGTGAAGGCAGCCTGGCCCCAGGTGAAGGCAGCCTGGCCCCGGGTGAAGGCAGCCAGGCCCCGGGTGAAGGCAGCCTGGCCCCGGGTGAAGGCAGCCTGGCCCCGGGTGAAGGCAGCCTGGCCCCTGGTGAAGGCAGCCAGGCCCCGGGTGAAGGCAGCCAGGCCCCGGGTGAAGGCAGCCAGGCCCCGGGTGAAGGCAGCCTGGCCCCGGGTGAAGGCAGCCAGGCCCCGGGTGAAGGCAGCCAGGCCCCGGGTGAAGGCAGCCAGGCCCCGGGTGAAGGCAGCCTGGCCCCGGGTGAAGGCAGCCTGGCCCCTGGTGAAGGCAGCCAGGCCCCGGGTGAAGGCAGCCAGGCCCCGGTTGAAGGCAGCCTGGCCCGGGTGAAGGCAGGCCCGCCCCTGGTGAAGGCAGCCAGGCCCCGGGTGAAGGCAGCCTGGCCCGGGTGAAGGCAGGCCCGCCCCTGGTGAAGGCAGCCTGGCCCCGGGTGAAGGCAGCCAGGCCCCGGGTGAAGGCAGCCTGGCCCGGGTGAAGGCAGGCCCGCCCCTGGTGAAGGCAGCCTGGCCCCGGGTGAAGGCAGCCTGGCCCCGGGTGAAGGCAGCACCGCCCCTGGTGAAGGCAGGGACTACATAGCCCTACTCTTTATTAGGTTTTAGAGCTGCCATCACAGTCCGGATGAGCGAGTAACGTGATAATAATGGACAGGCGTCTCCGGTCTTCTTTATCCGGACCCCGCTCCCTACCCGGCCATGAATACTTAACCCGATTATCCCGTGCCGCCACTTACACCCGGTGGGACCCGGTGGGCGGTGGTGGGCGGTGGTGGGACCCGGTGGGTGGTGGTGGGCGGTGGTGGGTGGTGGTGGGTGGTGGTGGTGGTGGGCGGTGGTGGGTGGTGGTGGGTGGTGGGCGGTGGTGGTGGTGGTGGGTGGTGGGCGGTGGTGGTGGTGGTGGTGGTGGGCGGTGGTGGGTGGTGGTGGTGGTGGTGGGTGGTGATGGGACCCGGTGGGTGGTGGTGGGCGGTGGTGGGCGGTGGTGGGTGGTGGTGGGTGGTGGGCGGTGGTGGTGGTGGTGGTGGTGGTGGGCGGTGGTGGGTGGTGGTGGGCGGTGGTGGGTGGTGGTGGTGGTGGTGGGTGGTGATGGGACCCGGTGGGTGGTGGTGGGCGGTGGTGGGTGGTGGTGGTGGTGGTGGGTGGTGGTGGGACCCGGTGGGCGGTGGTGGGCTGTGGTGGGTGGTGGTAGGTGGTGGTGGGCGGTGGTGGGCGGTGGTGGGTGGTGGTGGGTGGTGGTGGGCGGTGGTGGTGGTGGTGGGTGGTGATGGGTGGTGGTGGGCGGTGGTGGGTGGTGGTGGGTGGTGGTGGGTGGTGGTGGTGGGAGTTGGTAGTGGGTGGTGGGCGGTGGGTGGACCAGGTCTGGGTCACCTCACTACAAGACAACCTCAGGATTTGGTCATATTTTAAGATTTGAAAGAAATTGACCAATATACAAAAATATTTGTATTGGCATCGACAACAGCGCTCAGAACATCGACAACAGCGCTCAGAACATCGACAACAGCGCTCAGAACATCGACAACAATGCTCAGAACATGAACAACAACGCTCAGAACATCAACAACAACGCTCAGAACATCAACAACAGCGCTCAGAACATCAACAACAACGCTCAGAACATCAACAACAACGCTCAGAACATCAACAACAACGCTCAGAACATCAACAACAGCGCTCAGAACATCAACAACAGCGCTCAGAACATCAACAACAACGCTCAGAACATCAACAACAATGCTCAGAACATCAACAACAACGCTCAGAACATCAACAACAGCGCTCAGAACATCAACAACAGCGCTCAGAACATCAACAACAGCGCTCAGAACATCAACAACAGCGCTCAGAACATCAACAACAACGCTCAGAACATCAACAACAACGCTCAGAACATCAACAACAGCGCTCAGAACATCAACAACAGCGCTCAGAAGATCAACAACAGCGCTCAGAACATCAACAACAGCGCTCAGAACATCAACAACAGCGCTCAGAACATCGGCAACAGCGCTCAGAACATCAGCAACAGCGCTCAGAACATCAACAACAACGCTCAGAACATCGACAACAACGCTCAGAACATCAACAACAACGCTCAGAACATCAACAACAGCGCTCAGAACATCGGCAACAGCGCTCAGAACATCAACAACAACGCTCAGAACATCAACAACAACGCTCAGAACATCGACAACAACGCTCAGAACATCAACAACAGCGCTCAGAACATCAACAACAGCGCTCAGAACATCAACAACAGCGCTCAGAACATCAACAACAGCGCTCAGAACATCAACAACAGCGCTCAGAACATCAACAACAACGCTCAGAACATCAACAACAGCGCTCAGAACATCAACAACAGCGCTCAGAACATCGGCAACAGCGCTCAGAACATCGGCAACAGCGCTCAGAACATCGACAACAGCGCTCAGAACATCAACAACAGCGCTCAGAACATCAACAACAGCGCTCAGAACATCGGCAACAGCGCTCAGAACATCAACAACAACGCTCAGAACATCAGCAACAGCGCTCAGAACATCAACAACAACGCTCAGAACATCAACAACAGCGCTCAGAACATCAACAACAGCGCTCAGAACATCAACAACAGCGCTCAGAACATCAACAACAACGCTCAGAACATCAACAACAGCGCTCAGAACATCAACAACAGCGCTCAGAACATCAACAACAACGCTCAGAACATCAACAACAACGCTCAGAACATCAACAACAGCGCTCAGAACATCGACAACAGCGCTCAGAACATCAACAACAACGCTCAGAACATCAACAACAGCGCTCAGAACATCAACAACAGCGCTCAGAACATCGACAACAGCGCTCAGAACATCGGCAACACTGGACAGCTACCAGCTATATTTACTATTATTTTATAGCTGTGAAAATATAAAGCATTATCAGATTAGTTTTATACAAGTCACCGGAAAGTATATTGTTATTTACATAGGCAGAAGTAATACTCTTAATGAGGTACATTTTTGGCGGGAAATGTCAAATTTAAAAATACAAAAAAAAAAATAGCTTAAAATTATTTTATCGTGGTTTGTTTTCAACCGATTTTCATATTTTGACATAATGTATCGTGTAACTAACGCTCCAAATATTAAAATATATTTTAAATTTAAATGCAAATGTTAAAATTTGTTCATATTTAAATTGCAAAATATATTGTTCAGAAGTCTAAAATATTTTGTAATTAAGAAAAACAAATCAAAATTTAGTAATAACATTAGAAACATTAGATAGATACGTATTTTAGATTTACAGTGACACCAAACAAATGAATTTTCAATATAGACATTAAAGATAATTCCGTGATAAAATATCGCGGAATTCAGAATAATTTTGTCAGTGGTGTTCAAGAAATGTGTAAGATCTTCATAAGGATGTTCTACTGCCAGGAATCTTAGCCCCCCCAGTCTCCACAGTTAGTTTACTGTAGGTGGTGGTGCACTTGACTGTAACGCTGCCGCCCAGTTGGGTGGGTGTGGAGCACATGACTGTAACGCTGCCGCCCAGTTGGGTGGGTGTGGAGCACATGGCTGTAACGCTGCCGCCCAGTTGGGTGGGTGTGGTGCACATGACTGTAACGCTGCCGCCCAGTTGGGTGGGTGTGGTGCACATGGCTGTAACGCTGCCGCCCAGTTGGGTGGGTGTGGTGCACATGACTGTAACGCTGCCGCCCAGTTGGGTGGGTGTGGTGCACATGGCTGTAACGCTGCCGCCCAGTTGGGTGGGTGTGGTGCACATGGCTGTAACGCTGCCGCCCAGTTGGGTGGGTGTGGAGTGACTGGCTCACTACACATGTAACCCACCACCAAGACACAGGTCAACACCTGTACACACTCACACAACAAGTGTCCCAGCTACCATGAAACATGAGAACTGGGGAATTAATAAAATGATATTTGTTGTTGTATTCAAATATTTTACATTTTATACACATAAAATTATATATTATATTATATTATCTATATATATATATATATATATATATATATATATATATATATATATAAATCCAGGTTATGCATATGGAAATGTCAAGACCCTGGAAACCCACTTCGGCCAGTCATCAGCCAGATACCAACACCCATATACAGACTGGCTAAGCGACTCAACTGCCTGCTGACGCCTATGTGCCTTGTGCTTTCAGCCTGAAGTCTCCAAAGGAATTCGTTGACATACTGCGGGGAGCACAGGCCACAGGGATGAGAGCCTCTCTAGATGTGGAGTCGCTGTTTACCAACGTGCCCGTGGATGAAACAATCAGGATTATGTTGGACAGAGTTTATCGTGATCTGGCTTGTATCCCTCTGGACATATCAGAGAGCATACTAAGGAAGTTACTCAAAGCCTGCATTAAAGAGGCACCCTTCTTGAGTCCTGATAGGCACATGTGTAAACACGTAGATGGGGTCGCCATGGGTTCTTCCCCTAGGTGTCCTGTTCGCGTATTTTTACATGGGTACCATAGAGCAGAGGGTCTTAGTTGACATGGACTTTTAACCCTGCATATACTGCAGGTATGTTGACGACATATTTATACAGGTACCTGATGTCAGACATAAGCAGCAGTTGAAGGAGGCATTCCAGCAAAATTTGGTGTTAAGTTTCACTTACGAGATGAAGAGTGATGGGAAGCTGCCCTTTCTAGCTGTAACAGTCGCGTAAAGGAATGGAGACTTCCACACTGCAGTCTACACTAAGGAAACGAACATAGGAATGTGCCTTAATGCCAGTAGTGACTGCCCAGACAGGTACAAGCGGAGTGTTGTCAACGCTTACGTTGACCGAGCTCTCAATCACAACTCTGGTTGGAAGCAGGTCGATGAAGAACTCTGTTGAGTAAGGCAGGTCCTAGTCAATAATGGGTTCTCTAACGGTTATGTCGAAGACGTTCTTAAAAGAAAGGTGACAGGCCATGCAACCTCTGAAGAAGCAACCAACACAACACCTGTACCTCTTATTAGACTGTTTTACAGGAACTTCTTTTCCACAACTTATAAAATGGAGGAAAGAGTCCTTAAAGATATTATTGATAGGAACGTTATTCCCACAGACACCAATCAGAAGATACAATTAACAATATATTACAAAAACAAGAAAACGGTCAACCTACTCATGAAGAAGTCTCCAGACACCAAACAAAACGCCTTAAAAGAGACAAACGTCGTCTATGCCTTCACATGCCCACATGGGGACTGTCAGCCCCAAAGATCTCAGTATATAGGCGAGACAACGACGTCTCTCTCCAGGCGATTAACAGTGCACAAACAACAGGGCTCCATCAAGGAGCATATAATCTCCTCACACAACCAGACCATCACCAGAGACATCTTAACAACACTGAAATAATCCACAGG